TTCTGGAGGTGCTGGCGAGGGGAGGTCTGACGCTGCTGGGGCCTCTGGTGCTGACGTCGCCGACTCGGGGGGTGCTGCGGCGGAGGGTGCTGGTCCAGGTGCTTCTGGTGCTCCGGGTGCTGGAGGTGCTGGCGGAGCTCCGCCGTCGCGCCTGTTCTTCGCTCCTCCGTCGCCGTCGGCTTTGCCGCCGCCTGACACGGTGCTTCGCCAGGTTCTTTCCCTCCCGTCTTCCACTGGCCTTCCCCTTCAGCCTGGCTCCCCCCTCCCTGCTCCTGTGCCTTATAAGGCGCAGCCGGACTCGCTTACGGAGCGTCGTGAGCCTGCGTCTCGTCCTGCCTCGCCGGTTCGCGCTGCTCGCACTGCTCGCACTGGTCCCACTAGCCGTCGTGTCGCGCGTCCGCGTCCTCCTCCTGTTCCTGGCATGCACATTATGGCACTTCGTCCTTCCACTGGTCCACAGCGTGTCCCCCTACCGTCTCCTCCTGCGTCTTCTCTTCCTGACGTTCCCGACCCTGAGTCTGACAGTGTTCGTGCTGCCCACCCTACTGTCACGCGTCTTCTCGCCACTGTTGTCACTGACCCGTCGTTTGAGTCTTCTGCTGCGTCTGCCCTGGTCGCTGAGCTTGTCGACTTTGCTGCTGCCTGTCGCCTCGACTACGCCGCCAGTCTTGTTGCTGAGTCTGAGTCTGTCTGTCCTCCGTCCGTCGGGGGTGAGTGTGCTCTTGGCACGGACGTCTTTGAGGACAGGCAGGAGGACTTTGACTCTCTCGCGGCTGCTGTACCTCATCTCGTGGCCTGGTTGCTTGCCCCTGAGGGAGACCCGGATGCACTAGACATCCCCACTCCGCGCACTTACGCAGAGGCGATCTCGGGTCCCTACTCCTCTCAGTGGCAGACAGCCATGGACACAGAGATGGCATCCTGGAAGTCCACAGGCACTTACGTCGACGAGGTTCCCCCTCCTGGGGCGAACATCGTCGATGGCATGTGGATTTTCAGGGTGAAGCGGCCGCCAGGTTCTCCGCCTGTCTTCAAGGCTCGTTACGTTGCTAGAGGCTTCAGTCAGCGTCAGGGGGTCGACTTCTTCCAGACCTTCTCCCCCACCCCGAAGATGACCACTCTTCGGGTTCTGCTGCACGTTGCTGCTCAGCGTGATTACGAGCTTCACTCTCTTGACTTCAGCACAGCGTTCCTGCAGGGCAGCCTGCACGAGGAGATCTGGCTGCGCCGCCCACCTGGCTTTACTGGGTCGTTTCCTCCTGGTACCCAGTGGAGCCTCCGCCGGCCAGTCTACGGTCTCCGCCAGGCGCCACGTGAGTGGCACGACACACTGAGGACTACACTTGCGGCTCTTGGGTTCGCGCCGTCTACTGCTGACCCGTCACTGTTTCTGCGCACAGACACGTCGCTGCCGCCGTTCTACATTCTCGTGTACGTCGACGACTTGGTCTTTGCTACTGCTGACACTGAGGCACTCGCTCGTGTGAAGTCGGAGCTACAGAAGAGACACACCTGCACTGACCTGGGTGAACTGCGTAGCTACCTTGGCTTGCAGATCACCCGGGACAGAGCTCGCCGCACCATCACCCTGACTCAGTCACACATGGTGCAGCAGGTCCTTCAGCGCTTCGGCTTCCAGTTCTCCTCACCACAGGCCACACCTCTGGCTACCAGCCACTCACTCTCAGCTCCACCTTCGGACGAGTCCGTAGAGCCGAGTGGCCCGTACCCAGAGCTTGTAGGCTGCCTCATGTACCTGATGACTTGCACGCGACCTGACCTCGCGTACCCACTTAGCATCCTTGCTCGTTACGTTGCGCCTGGGAGACACAGGCGAGAGCACTGGGAGGCTGCTAAGAGGGTGCTGCGTTACTTGTGCAGTACATCAGGCATGGGGCTGGTGCTTGGAGGACGCGACAGAGTTGTCCTCACTGGTCACTCGGACGCTTCTTGGGTGGACGACCTGGCTACGCAGCGGTCGTCACAGGGTTACACCTTCAGTCTTGGCTCTGGTTCTGTCTCGTGGCGGTCCACCCGCTCTTCTTCTGTTCTCGGCTCTAGTTGTGAGGCTGAGATCTACGCCACAGCCATGGCCGCCCAGGAGCTACGCTGGCTCACCTACCTGCTGACTGACTTGGGAGAGTGGCCTAGTTCTCCTCCAGTTCTGTACGGTGACAACAAGGCGGCTCTTGCCTTGTGTCAGGAGCACAGACTGGAGCACAGGACGAAGCACATTGCTCTTCGCTACTTTCTTGCTCGAGAGCTTCAGCAGCGCGGTCAGCTTCGGCTTGTGTACGTGGACTCGAAGGCCAACACTGCTGATATCTTCACCAAGGCGCTCCCGCCTAGTGATCATCAGCGGCACTGTACTTCTTTAGGCCTTGTGTCCACGTTTCCTCACTTGCTCACTGCTTGACATTCTTTGTACTGTACTTTATATTTGTCTTGCTGCTTGTCCTGTTCTATATCTAGCACTACATGTGAACTGGCCTTGTGGCCTTTGTTTGTGCTCGGAGTGTGGTGACGTTGTGATCCACCCTGGGCTTGTTTTTGCTTTGCTGGACTGGTCTTGTGACCCTTTGCTCTCCCCCACTTTGCCTATGGGGGTGTGTTAAGTTGTAATGTGTTATTTATATGTAGGTAGGCTGTAGTGGGGTAGCCAATACAGGGTACAAACCCAACTAGGGTTAGCTACTTGTACCCAACTGTTTCTTTCAATGCATCATTCTTGCCTAGTTCTCTTAACAGAATTCTCTCGGGGAAGTGGGTCTTCCGCGTGAAGACCGAAGCAGATGGGACGATCGAGCGCTTCAAGGCACGTTGGGTGGTTCGCGGCTACGATCAGAGGCACGGGATCGACTTCGACCAGACGTTCGCCCCAGTTAGCCGCCACACCTCCGTCCGCATCCTGCTCGCCATCGCAGCTGCAAGGCACCTACCACTCCGCCAGATTGATGTGAAGAACGCGTTCCTGTACGCGTTAGTGGACGCTGTGATCTACGTGGAGCAGCCACACACCTACGGCGAAGGAGACTCGCGCGTGTGTCAGCTGCGCAAGTCACTCTACGACATCAAACAGGCTCCGAGGCTGTGGCAGCAGTACCTGCACAACATTCTACTTGAAATCGGGTTCAAGCAGATGCCGCATGATCCAGGGATGTACCGCCGCGACTTCCGCGGCGAATACATTCTCCTCACGGTGTACGTCGACGACCTGCTTTACACAGGCTCAAACAACGAGCTTCTCGAGCAGTTCGAGAAGGCCTTGGCGGGGCGCGTCGACATCACGTGCAACTACGAGGTGAAGCAGTTCCTAGGCCTCAACATCTCCTACGCGCCTGAGGCCATTCACCTCTCAGCGGCTAAGTATGCAGAGGAGTTAGGGAAGCGGTTCAACATTTCACCTGCACCTCTCTCAACTCCCTACCGAACCCCCGGACCGAACCACAAACCTGACAACAAAGCCCTATCCCCTGCTGGGATTCAGACTTACCAGCAGCAGTTGGGATGCCTCCTCTTCGCCTCTGTCACCTGCAGGCCAGACCTCTCGTACATCGCAAGTCAGCTTGCGCAGTACTCACGCAAACCAACGGCTGAAAATCTCCTGGACCTGCAGCGCGCTCTTCAATTCTTCGTTTCAACGCCCAAGATTGGGCTGTGCTACTCAATGCTGATCACACAGCAGATCCCGATAATCGACGGTCCAGGACTGGCTTCCTGTTCCGACTCGAGCCAACGGGACCAATCTCCTGGAATTCGCAGAAGCAGGAATTGGTTGCCCTGTCATCAGCCGAAGCGGAATTCATCGCAGCAACCGCAGCAGTTCGCGAAGGTCTCTACCTACAAGAACTTCTGCAAGAGGCGAAAATCCCAGCTTCGCCCACCTTCCGCCTTCACTGCGACAACCAGAGCGCGATTCGCATCGCGAACAAGCCTGGTTTCGTCAACCGCACCAAGCACATCGCGCTGCGGTACTTCTTCGTGAAGGACGAGGTGGACAAGGGCAAGGTCAACTTGACCTACTGCCCGACCGGTGACATGGCAGCAGACTTCCTCACGAAGCGACTGCCACGCCAGCAGTATCAGCACTGCTCCGAACTCAGCGGCGTGGTCAAGCAGGTCAAGTCAAGCTACGGCCAGGAGTGAAGGGGGGTGTTACGAATAGTAATATTTGATATTACTGTGCACTCCTCACCGCAGCAAAGAGAAGCACGCAATATCGGGAATGAACGCGAACCGTCAGACGGTTGGAATTGAATCGAAGCGTCGGACGGTTACAGCACATCTGGACCGTCGGGAGCAGACGGCATCGGGCAGCTGCAGGCAAGCAGGACGGTTTTGGCGGGAACAGTTACGAAACTGTACGCGCCGCACGGTTGGAGATGTATTTGAATAAGGGAATGTACCCCTTAGAGTACATGGCTAGCTAGGACGTTTCGTCTTCCCTGTACTCATATTTATATTTCCTGTATTTGCATGTTTTAATTCATCTCAAAGCATTTTACATTCACTCTGCTATTGAGGTCAAGGGCCCACCAACACTACCTTACTGCGTGCGAACCTTCCTGAGTAGATCCTGGGCTACGATCAACTTCTGATCGCAGCAGCTTTGAGTCAATTCCAACCGTCTGACTCTTCACGTTCGTTCTCGTTACTGCGTGCTTCTCTTGCTGCGGTGAGGAGTGCACAGTAATAATCAAGTATTACTATTCGTAACACCCCCCTCTTATATGCGTTCAAGGTAAAAAAAGATTGTGATAGTATCAAGACATTATTCTCTGGTAAAAAGGGGGGAATTTTTGTAATTTGACCCTATCGATTTGTGTAATTGTGTATAGAGAAGTTTGACAGTCTTGTAACAGTAGAAGATTGACAAACTCCCTGTAACTCGATCTTCCATGTTTCCGCCTTGGGAACTCGCTGCTGCGGGCTGCAGGTGAATGAAAAAGCTCCTCTCCCTGCACAATTCGAAAAGCTACACACAATTCTTCGCTACTGCCATGGATACCGAGGACTACAATGCGCTTCTGAACCAGCCGCTTGAGGTTGGCTGTCAAATGGATTCCTTTTTAGAAACAGACGCGGATGTTTCATGCATCGACGCTGAGTCTTTAGTATTTTCGGCAAAAATCCCTATATCAGGTTTGTCTTCGTAGCATGGTTCACGGAGTATAGGGCCGACAGCTGTAATCTGACAGTCGTTGTTACGTATTGCAGTTGAAGTTTGTCTCAAAGCAAATTCAGAAGCTTCTTTTAGCGACGTCCGTGCATCAATCTACCGGTCAGTTTCACCTAATCGTATCTTGGATTCTCTGTTGGCTTTTGATACGACTAATAGAGCTTTTTTCAACGCGCAGGTTGCTTGCGAAGAGGCATCAAGTCTTCGCTAATGGGCCTCTTGTTCTCAATCCAGGCGAAGAGCCATTCATTGATGACAACGTAGCTTCTATTAACTTTGTGGACATTGGTAAGTAAGGATTTTCACTGCCTCGGTTAGCAGCTACTGCTATCCTTACGATCATGTTCATTGCAGATGAGCAAACTATTGCGAATCAGGTTATTCTCTTCTGGCAAGTTGATATTCAAATCAGCATCTTCAAGGTCTGATTCCCAAGGATCTCGATCATTTTTGGCGTGAACTACGAAATGAAATACAATTTGAAATGTGAGCAGTTGTGCCGAGGAGGCGCTGTTGAAGACACCGAACAAGAGCAAGAGGTTGCCTCGTTTGAATCATGGAACCTTCCGTCAGAGGATTTCCATGGTCTTTGGGAAAGGTACAGTCGAAACAAATCGTTTGCTCGTAGAAAAGTTGTCGCAGGTCAGTTGTATCGTTCTGATGGCTATCTCGTTTCCAGTCTGGTATATGATTCGGGAATCAAGCACCGACTTCTTCGATATGCTGCAAGTGCTCTTCTGTTTTCAGAGAAAGGCGTAAATTGTCAGCTTGTTTCTTGGAACAGGTAATTGGATGCAACAGATTGTTTGTGATATGTCAATTCGCTTACTGACCCATTTCATATTTCAGGGTGGTTTTGTTGTTCGGGCCACCTGGTACAGGGAAAACATCTCTTTGGTAAGCATTTGATTTTACGTACCGCTCTCTGCATTTTTGTCTTTGGGGGCCTTAACTTGGTACAGATCATTCTTTGTCCAATCCAAACACTCTCCACCTCTTCCCTTCCTGATATCTTGTTGCTTTTGCATTCAGTAAGGCACTGGCCCAAAAGCTATCTATACGTTTCAAAGAAAGGTGACTATATTGCTTCCTGTCACTGCTCGATCAGTTGCAAGGTTGGAATGTTAACACCAGTCCACAGGTATCAGACAGCTCATCTTATTGAAGTGAATGCGCACTCTCTCTTCAGCAAATGGTTCTCCGAAAGTGCAAAGCTTGTAAGCTCTAAGTTGGCAGTAGTAATGCCAGCCGAGAACAAGGTCTCATATGTCCTTTCCGTGTTGCGTTGCAGGTGAGCAAGCTGTTCAGTCACATCCAGTCTTTTGTGGAGGATAGAAGTTCGTTGGTGTTCGTACTTATTGGTACGTGAGGGTGTCCAATTTCCATTCCACTTCCTCTGTGCACCATGCGGTGCTTACCAAAGTTCTGCCTTGGTCAGACGAAGTTGAGAGCCTAGCTGCGGCACGTCAAGCTGCTCTTAATGGCTCAGATCCTTCGGATGCTATAAGGGTACGTTGACCTGTGACCTGTCAGGGCCTTGATATGAGTGCGTGTTAATTCTCCCTTGTGCATGTGTGCAGGTCGTGAATGCATTGTTGACTCAGCTTGATAAACTGAAGCAGCATCCCAACGTCATGGTTCTGACGACTTCGAATTTAACACATGCCATTGGTCTGTCCTGGCGCATTTGTATAAAGTTCAGTCTCTGTTCTTCAAGGTCTATGAAATGGCGCCTTTCCTCTTTTTTTCAGATCTGGCGTTCATTGACCGAGCTGACATTAAAGCATTTATTGGACCACCGTCATTGCAAGGACGTTATAATATGTTGCATTCAAGCTTCTGCGAGCTTCAACGAGTTGGAATTGTTGAAGAGGTGGAGGTACGAGTTGCCCTCGTGTTATTCATGGTTCTGCAATCTCAGTTTCCTGTGATATTTCCTGTGAACTGATTCCTGTTTTGACTGACAGGGCAACACTGTCTATCCGTCCACTTACAACGAACTGATGCTGAGCGATTGTAATAGTGAGGACATGGGAAGTAGTAAGGGTGTCCACTTAGGGAAGAAGCTTCTCGAGGTCGCCAAGGCCTGTGAGGTACGTTTTATAATTTGCCAAGAGTGGCTGTTTGGAGTAATGTCTGTGTCGTGTTAAACCCAATCATCCTTGCAGGGGCTTAGCGGGCGAATTCTAAGGAAACTTCCTTTCCTGGCCCATGCTACAAGCAACATGCCTGGTGCTTGCTCAGCTGACAGCTTCATTGACAAGCTGCAGTCAGCTGTGCAGAAGGAGCTGGAAGACAGGAACACCATGGCTGCGAGGTAGCAATGACCATAGCATCGCCATTTCAAGTTGGTAGTTACTTTATTAAGATATCATTAGTTTTGAATATCTGGGGGTCCGTAAGTCAACTATCATAACTCCACTTGTTAGAAGAGCCTAAGATTTGAATTATGCTGGTTGGTGGGGGGAAAGGGCAACAAAGGAACAGAGATTTTGCATTCACACACCAGAAAGATGGTTGATAAACACCTTTGGACGGGTGTCAAGAATCAGTGAGGGCAGCATAAGAATGCTGGAATTGACATGCGTCTTTGTCCTCAAGTGGTACCGTAAGTTACCATCCATCATCTCTGCTCCTCATTTTTTCCATCCCACCACCATCTCTGCTCCTCAGTCGTTCCTTTCCACAAACTCCCATCCTGCCATCTCTTTCATGATCCCCTCCCATCATCTCTGCTCCTCATCCCATCCCACCAACTTTGCTCCTCATCCCATACCACCATCTCTGCACCCCATCCCATCCCATCCCATCCCACAATCTCCTTTCATCATCCCATCTCACCATTTCAACTGCTCAACCCATCCCATCATATCTGCTCTTCATCCCATCCCACCATCTCAACCCATTCCACTGTCTTTGCTCCTCATCCCATCCACCATCTTTGCTCCTCATGCCATCCCACCGTCTCTGCTCCTCATGCCATCCCATCCGACAAAAACCTCAGCGGCTCAGCCCATCTCATTTCACGATCTGTTTTCATCATCCCATCCCACTATCTCTGCTGCTAATCCCATCCCATCATATCTGCTCCTCCTCCTCCCATCCTCCCAAAGCTCTCATCACCTCATCCCACAATCTCTGCTCCTCATCTCATCCCACCATCTATTCTCCTCGTCATATCCTACCATCTCCGCTCCTCATCCCACCACCTCTGTCGCTCATTCCATCCCAACATGTCTGCTTCTCATCCCATTTCACCAACTCTGCTCATCATCCCATCCCACCAACTCTGCTCATCATTGCAGCCCACCATTTCTGCTCCTCAACCCATCCCACCATCTCTACTCATCATCCCGTATCGTCATCTCTGTTCCCCATCCCACCCCGCCATCTCTGCTCATCATATCATCCCACCATTTCTGCTCATCATCCCATCTCACCATCTCTGGTCATCATCCCATCCCACCATTTCTGCTCATCATCCCATCTCACCATCTCTACTCATCATCCCGTATTGTCATTTCTGTTCCCCATCCCACCCCTCCATCTCTGCTCATCATGCCACCCTACTATCTCACCTCCTCATCCCATCCCGCCATCTCTACTCATCATCCCATCCCACCATCTCTACTCATCATCCCGTATCATCATCTCTTTTCCCCATCCCACCCCACCATCTGTGCTCATCATACCATCCCACCATCTCTACTCATCATCCCGTATCGTCATCTCTGTTCTCCATCCCATCCCACCATTTCTGCTCATCATCCCATCTCACCATCTCTGCTCATCATCGCATATCGTCATTTCTGTTCCCCATCCCACCCCACCCCACCATCTCTGCTCATCACACCATCCCACTATCTCTTCTCCACTTCCCATACCACCATCTCTACTCATCATCCTATCCCACCATCTCTACACATCATCCCGTATCGTCATCTCTGTTCCCCATCCAATCCCACCATCCCTGCTCATCATACCATCCCACTATTTCTGCTCCTCATCCCATCCCACCATCTCTACTAGTCATCCCGTATCGTCGCCTGTTCCCCATCCCATCCCACCATTTCTGCTCCTCGTCTTAATCCACCGTCTGTGTTTCTCATCCCATCCCACCATCTATACTCATCATCCCATCCCACCATTTCTGCTCCTCGTCCCATTTTTCTCCTCATCCCATCCCACCTTTCTCTGCTCCTCATCCCATCCCACCTTCCTCAGCTCCTCATCCCATCCCACCTTTCTCAGCTCCTCATCCCATCCCACCTTTCTCTGCTCCTCATCCCATCCCGCCTTTCTCTGCTCCTCATCCCATCCCACCTTTCTCAGCTCCTCATCCCATCCCACCTTTCTCAGCTCCTCATCCCATCCCACCTTTCTCTGCTCCTCATCCCATCCCACCTTCCTCTGCTCCTCATCCCATCCCACCTTTCTCAGCTCCTCATCCCTTCCCACCTTTCTCAGCTCCTCATCCCATCCCACCTTTCTCTGCTCCTCATCCCATCCCACCTTTCTCAGCTCCTCATCCCATCCCACCTTTCTCAGCTCCTCCTCATCCCACTTTCTCTGCTCATCCCATGCCACCATTTCTCCTCGTCTGATGCACACGTGGTACTGACGACCATTAACAGCCCACGGGGTTCGGGCTCATGTGGGGTGGTGGGAGAAGCGACAGCAGCATCACTCTGTGCATCAGGCGCATAGGGCGTCATTCGTATGCCGCAGAAGCATCAGCCACATGAATAAGGCCTCTCTTTTCACAACAGGCCGTATGTTGGACTTGCCTGCGGTTTATCCGCTCCACATCTTCGATAAAGCTTTCTGCTGCAGCTGTGAATGCTGCTGTGACTGCAGCTGTGGCGGTGGCTACTGCTGTGAGCAATTTACCAAGTGTGTAGATCATTGAAGTTGCCAAATTTGCATGTACTACGGTATGTCATGAAAACGTGCTGCAAAGGGCATCTCGAGCAAGTGCAACCCACGTATGTGCAAGGACACATTGCAAACATTGTGCAGTCTATCTCATCTACATCTTGGACAGATTCTGGCTTCCAACCAATGCTTGTCAATCAGAACTTACAGTTTACACACAAAAGGAATGAGAATACAAACAGCTGTACATACATTGGAGATTCTGCCAAGCCAACTACCACGTCAGGGTAAAATCTGAGGCGCTTAGGAAGTAGGCCCTCAAGTTGAAATTGAAACATGTATGATATAGAAACATGGTCGTCTCTGCCCCGTGTAATGGTGGTTGTGATGGTACAGCCTGCAAAAGGTTAGTAAATGACATGACATCCTTTCAGCTGCAAAATGACATAGAAAAGGATACTGCCCTGAATACTGACCAGAATGTCAACCTGAATACCAACCTGAACACTGACGTGCTGAACAGCTCTCAACCTGAAATACAGGAACTGGCTCGAACGCTGTAGCCATATAGCGCGCCTGACTGCGAGGTGAATGATTGGTCAAGTCACCAATGTTAACCTGAACGCATGCCAGCAGTGGAGAGAGTTAAAGGTTCAAAAGCCATCAGAAGGTTCACTAAAAGTCGGCCCATATGATGGTTGTGATGGCAGAGCCTGCGAAAGGTTAGAACATGACATCCTTCCAGCTGCAAAATGGCATGCAGTGCAATACTGACCTGAAGTGACCCTGCATACTGGCCTGAATTCTGGCCAGAGTTGAGACCTGAGTTGAGTAGTGACCTGAATACCAACCTCCATATTAACCTCCATACCAACCAACCTACATACCGACCTGCTGAACTACTCTCAACGGTGAACCCGCCTCACAAAAACTCGATTGACGTTGTACAAAACAGAACTAGTGATGTGGCTCACCTGATTGCATGCGAGCAGTTCAATAAAAGTGGAAAGCGGTCAGGTGTCAGAAGCAGTTAGACAGTTCACTTCCAGTCCGAGTCAACAGAAGGTGGACCCCCCCATCCACACCCTCTATTGGTATGCCTCACTGAGGAGGGGAGCGGGCGGTAGAGGGCGACTTTGACTGGGAGGGCGAGGGGCCTGGGAGGGGAAAGGGTGAGGGGGCAGGGAGGGAAAAGGGTGAGGGGGCAGGGAGAGGGTGAGTGGTGAAAGATTGAAAACAGGGCATGGAATGGTGGTTCTGACATCATTTCAAGGCTTGAACCGCAATATCGGTCACAGTGCTTAATGGTGATGATTGGAATCCTTGCAAACACGCAGGAGCATCCAGAGTGACAAGCATGCTTTCCCCAATGTGGCACGAATTTGACTTGGCAAGGCACGGATTTGACTTGGCATGACCTGGAATTGACTTGGCATGGTACGGACATGACCTGACCTGATACCTGAATGCTAACCTGATACATGACTTCTGAATGAATGGATACCTGCAAGGTTCAAAAATACGACCGAATTTTTGAAAAAGTCACCGTAAAATACGGTATCGTATTTTACGGTCGTATTAAACGTAAAATACGGTCAGACCTTGCATTTTTAGGTTCGTTCAAAAATACGGTCATTTTTTACGGCCGCAATTTTGAAACCGAGATTTATGAAAGTATTCCTAGACCTTGGTTATGGCCGTCGCGTTCGCATAATACTTAGGGGAGTTTCGGTGGAGCTCAGGAACATCCCTACGGAAGCTCTGACAGATTCCGAGGTCATCCATAAGGGCATGGAAGATCCTTACGAACATGTAAGGGGAGTTGGGTCTTGTAGATCTAGGGTTGGGTTGAGGCCGATGTTGAGATCTGTGAAAGTGTAAGGGGGGTTGGGTCTTGTAGATTCAGAGCGGTGACAAGTGGTAACTGGCGACAAATTGGTTGCGACATTTAGTTCCAACAATTTTGACGGGGAGTAAGGCAGTTCCTGGCGGGATCCAATCGACCGGCAGATCGGCGGGCGAAATCGCCGCACAAGCGAGGTCACTTATAATAGTCTGAGTTTTTGTGGGGGAGCGGCTTTTTAGGCCTGACAGTTAGCAATTTTCCTGATGTTCGCATCCTTAGAGGTGGACGGTTCCAAGTCTGGGAAAAAAATCTCCAACAAAAAAACGGCCGATTTTTTTGGAAATTGGCCGTAAAATACGACCGTAAAAAACGGCCCGTATAATACGACAACCGTATTTTTAATCCTTGGATACCTGAATACTGACTGAATATTTGAATGCTCTCCTGAAAACCTGAACACTGACATGATACCTGAATGCTTACCTGATACCTGAATGCTGACCTGATACCTGAATGCTGACCTGATACCTGAATGCTGGCCTGATACATGACTATTGACTGGATACCTGAATACTGACCTGCTACCTGAAAACAGAGCTG